CCACCGCTCCCGTCCTGTGCTTATGCTTTTGATGTGGTATCTAAGGCTTTACCTAACTCAAGATATGAAGATTTACTCCTGTTTTTTTCCGAAGAGTTTTATAGTTTTGGGTTTTACATTTAGGTCCAAGATCCAATTTGAGTTAGTTTTTGTGTATGGTCTAAGGAAAGAGTCAAATTCATTCTTTTGCATGTAGATATCCAGTTTTTCCAGCATTGTTGAATAGATTATTCTTCTCTCATTGAAATGCTTGTATCCTTACTGAAATCAATTGACCATAATGTAAGTTCATCATTTTCTTGTAGACAGCTTATATTGAAGTTATTTAAAATTCATTTTGATAATCTGTCATTTAATTATTCTATATAACATTTATACTTAAGCAATTGTTTGTATGTTTGGATTTAGGTGTGAGAATCTGGAAAATAATAACTCTTCTGATTTGTAGTTATGGAATTTTCTAAGCTCAAACCTTTTTAAAGATATTGGTCATTATTTCATTTAGAAATGCAGAAAGCTTAAATTTGAAGGGTTTACCCATTGTATATAAAATACAATATTGTACCATAGTTCATTTTGCATAATAAAATAAGAAGACAGAGAGCTGCCTTTAAATCAGTATTATTAATGCATTCCAATTGTCCAAAGATTCATCTATTTATCAGAAATATTACATGAATCTTTTAAAATACAATTTTAAAACCTTGTTATTCAGAACCAAATGTTTAAGAATTAAATCATGTCTCAAACTTTTGTCTCACAATTATAACAACATAGGCTGTGATTTAAATATTTGCGCTTGTCCACATTTTAAAATAAAGTATATGAACTTTTCTTTACACATTTGATAAGATTAGCTGGACTAGAAATATACTAGAGTGTGTACGTAACAACAGATATTTTAAAACCAAGTAACTTATAATTTCCACAGTGAGGGAAAAGAAAAGAACATTAAACAACAAAAAAAAAAAAAAAGAGAAGAGAGGAAAGAGAAGACTGGTTTTCCACAACTATTAAATATCTCTGTAAAGTGCTAATTTTATTCTCTGCAAGAGGATAGGAAAAGTTTAGATGCAGAAAAACTCATCTGGACATAAATATACAGAAAAGCACTTTGGGAGGCTGAGGCAGGACTGTTTGAGGCCAGGAGTTCAAGACCAGTCTAAGCAAGAGCAAGATCCTGTCTCTACAAAAAGTAGAAAAATTAGCCAGCCATGGTGGTGCATGCCTATATTTCTAGCTATTGGGAAGGCTGTGGCAGGAGGATCACTTGAGCCCAGGAGTTTGAGATTGTAGTGACCTATGATAATGCTGCTGCACTCTAGCTGGGTGACAGAGCAAGATCTCTAACACACACACACACACACACACACCACAAAAGTCATTGCAGTTGATTTAAAAATACTCAGGCTCTTTACAATTTTTTATTTTTGATATAATTTTAGATTTAGAGTAAAGGTATAAGGATAGTACAGAGGTCCTGAATATCCCTCATGTATTTTCCCCTATTGTTATCATCTTTCATAACCATATTTGTCAAAATAATAGAAGTAACAATGGTAAATTATATTAACTAAACTTGACCTTTTATCCAGATTTCAGTAGTTTTTTCCCACTAATATCCATTTTCTATTCCAGGATCTAGTTTAAGAGAGCACACTACATTCAGCCATCAAGTAAGTCTCCTTAGTTTCCTCTGGTCTATTACAGTATTTCAATCTTTCCTTGTTTTTCATGACCTTGACAGTTTTGAGGAATACTGATCAGGTTTATAGAATATCCTTCAATTTTGGTTTATGTGATTTTTTTTGTTCATGTTTAGACTAGACTGGTTATAGGTTTTGGGAAGAATACCACAGAGGTGAATTGCTCTTTCTCATCGCATCATATTAAGGGGTATATGATATCAACATGACGTATTATTGATATTAACCCTAATCACTTAGCCAAGATAGGTTTCTCCATTGTAAAGTTACTCTCCTCTCCACTTTCCATACTCTTATTATAATTATTATTATTATTTTGGAGACATGGACTTGCTCTGTTGCCTAGGCTGGAGTGCAGTGGCACAATCATAGTTCACTGCAACCTAAAACTCTTGAACTCAAATGATCCTCCTGCCTAAGCTTTCTGAGTAGCTGAACTATAGGGACATACCACTGCACCCAGCTAATTTTGACATTTTTTGTAGCGATGGGGTCTTACTATTGCCTAGGCTGTAAATGTGTGCAATCTCTGACTAAGCAATCCTAATTTCAGGAATCCATTTTATAGTAATATAATAACAATCCTAGCACTCTGGGAGGCTTAAGTGAGAGGATTGCTTAAGGTCAGTTTGAGACAAGTCCGAGCAAGAGTGAGACCTGTCTCTACAAAATAGAAAATTAGCTGGGCATGGTGGCATGTGCCTATAGTGCCAGATACTCGGGAGGCTGAGGCAGGAGGATCCCTTGAGCCAAGGAGTTTGAGGTTGCAGGACAAAAAAAAAAAAAAAAAAAAAAAAAAAAAGAAAAGCACAAATTTGTAAAGATAAATGTAAAAGGATGCGTATTGCAGTATTCATTGTGTTAATTATAATATTGCCTATTTTGTTTTTAAGTTAGCATAAAAAGATATTTATAAGTATTCTACTTGCTTGTGAACATTTATTTCTCCCCATAGCTAATCCATCAGCAAATCTTAATGTCTTTTATCTCCAAAATGTGTTTTAGATCTGTCCACTCCTTTCTACCAAAATTGTTTTTCCCGGTCAATTGGGCATAGATCAACCTATTAAAAATTAAATAATCTTTTTAATTATGATATATCATAATTCATTTAAATATGCTACAACTGTTTTAAGTCTTTTGCTGTTGTAATAGGTGATAGAGATTTAATGTTTAATTTTGAAGAAGACTGTAAATAAAAGCTGAGAAATACATACAGTATAGTAATTTTTCCTACAATCACTGGATTACTTTGGTTTTTGGTTTTATTGGCAAGAGTCATCAGCTGAAAACCATGCCAAGATAAACACTGGAGGAAACATTCCCAAGGATTATACACATAATTTTAGCTTTGTACGTTTCTTACTAAAGTAATGTTACCTTCTTTGCTGTAAAATTAGCTTTTAAGGAATACTTTGCAAAGCTTAGTTCTAATGCTACAGAATTCAGTTATGTTACTGACCAATACATGTTTAAAATCACTCACCATTGAAGACCTTTCCTATTTCTTGCTATTTTTATTTTCTAGAACACAAAGCCTATCATTTCCTTAATAACTTTTAATTTACATCCTTAGAACTTCTTCAGCTCTGCTACTTTTTTCCTTAAGACTAGAGTCATAGGCAGCATTCTGGTGACAATTCATAGTCCAGGAATATTGTATTTTGTTTATAAAATTCTTTTCTCACCATGTTCAGTATTTTTGTTGGTTACCTTGGCCACAATACCTCATTCTCATGATGTCTTCACCTGTATACTGTGGACAGTGAAATCACCTGCTTTTTTTTTTTTTTAACTCACATTGCCTGTGATACCAAGAAAAAGGGCAAAAAAAGGAAAGAAAAAAATTCCAAGGAATTTCTGAAGGAGTTTATTTATTATTCTGCTTTTGTTAGAGCCATGAGTAACATTTGCATAACACTCTACAATTCATAAGAACCTTTACCTGCTTCATGAAACCTCAAAACAAACCTTTGAGACTAGCAGGATCATACCCTCTTTACAGAAGAAGATAACTTACATACCAGTTATGGTGTTTCCTGTATTTGAATCCTCTGCTCTCCACATTACATTATGCTGCCTTCTCTACAACTAATTAGGAATTTTCTTTCTCGAAACCATTTCCTTTATGTTAGTTCCCTTCTGAATAAATGCCTTTCCCCCTTTATCCTCCTTAGTATATCTTCAGGAAATCACAAATTCACTATAGTAATTAATGAGTTCTAAAGCGTGAACGAGTACCAAGGTAGCAAATATTCATCGGTAAAGTAGTAAGTACGCCCTTGACAGTGCTCAACACACACAAAAAAACATTCTTTTACTCCACATAAAACATCGCTGGTGTATAGTATGTGTGGGGGACGCCAGAGGAAATAGCCGACAAAAAGCTTAATGCCAAACTGAGTAATTTTATCTTGTTCAAGTTCATTTCAATTTCCTCTGCTGAGCCCAAGATGTAAAGATCCGTCCTAACAGTTCTTTTTCTCAGGGTTGACATTGGCTGTATTCTCAAGAACCCCTTGCACTCTTAAACCACCATGCCTCCCTGGTCTCCTCTTCATAGAATCTTCCAGAATCTCTCTTTTTTCCGGACACAGTGGTTTGCTGGACGGTCAGGGGTTCACAAGTTTCCAAGCCGTTGTAATTTTCCTGCTTTAGGTCAATTAGGTACTTCTGGTTGTCCCTGAAATCCTTTAACCTCCATCGCATCACCTTACTAAACGGGGCCCGGCTCCTCCTGCCTGTTCCTTGCTTACGGTTCAGTCAGTATTAGATCCGAGACGCTCAGCGCGAGGTGGTGTTTACTGGCTCATTCCGAGATCTCAATTCCAGGCACCTTGAAGCTCCCCTTGGACTTTATGGAACCATATTTGGCCTTTCCATTCCGGTTGCGACGGCTGCCCCCTTCCAAACACCACACCGGTAAACCTCAGGTTGCTCGAGTCGCCTCACTCGCCGACCAGAGAGCCCGGACCCGCCCGAGAGAGGTTTTGCGGCCTGCGCATGCGGACTGGGCTGCCGCCTCACAGACGCCCCGGCTGCCTCCCTCCGGTCCGCCGCGGCGGTTTGGAGTTCGCTGACAGCTCCACGACCGACGGACGCAGCCTAGTCTCGTGCTTCCACGTTATCCTATCAGAGACGGGGCGGGGCGGTGGCCTCCGCAGCCTATCAGCGCGAACCACGACCCCGGCGAGCCCAGTAGGAGAGCGGCCAGGAAGAAGGCGATTGGGCGGCGGCGGCGCTCCGGGGCGTAGCGTCGTCCGGGCCCCGCCCACCGCTGCTTTCCTCTGCTCGGCGCCAGCCGCTGCTTAGGCCTGAGCGAGAGCCGACGGCGGGCGGGCGCAGCTGCACCGTGAGCGCCAGCGCGGGCTGGTCGGCCGCGCACCCTTCTTCCTCCTCACTCCCCGCGCCCTCGGTCATGGTGGCCCCCGGCTCTGTGACCAGCCGGCTGGGCTCGGTGTTCCCTTTCCTGCTGGTCCTGGTGGATCTGCAGTACGAAGGTGAGACCTGCCCTGCCACAGCCGGGGGAGCGGGTTCCCGGGTCAGGGCCCCCGGCGCTTCCCCGTCTGCTCCCGGGCGCGAGTCTCGGCGCGGCTCGGGAGGTGGGGCGGGAGCCGGGGGAGACCGCGGGCCGGGTCTGGGCCTGAGCTCGCGCCTGGGCGGGGGCCGGCGGCCGGTTCCGGGTTTGTGTGGGGAAGGGCTGAGGGGACCGGAGGGCCTCGGGGCCGGGACAGCGGGTTTGGAGTGAGGAGTGGGGCCGCTGCGGTCTGAGGAGGCGGGGGGACAGCGTGGCCGCCGCGCGCCCCGCGGCAGGGCATGGGGGCTCCGGGCGGCGACTTGGGGAGCGTCCTGGGACGCGGAACTTGAGCAGCCGTCGGGTCCCGGCCTTGCTGGGAACCCTTGCTTGACGCCTGGGGACTGTGTTGGTCAGTGGTGCTTGGAGGAGGCAGTGAAGGTGGCCCAAAGGTGGCCCAAAGACTTCTTTCGCTTTGGAGTTCCTGGGCAGGAGTAGCCGTGTTATGTCCAGCTGGGTGAGGTGAAGGAGACGGTGTGGACTGTTAAAAAAGTGAGTAAACATTACATTACGATACACTGTCGGGTATAGAAGTTGTTAAGTTGATGCATTGAGGGGCCGGTGTTGGAGTTCCAACTCCCGGAGGGCTAGGCACTAAGTTTGTGGTTTTACAACTCCCAGCATGGTGTCATTGAATTTAGGCTGGCTTTACTTTTCCGAGTTCTCTGAAAAAGTGTTCCTTTAAAAAAGATATGAGCGCTTAAATGCAATTTCAGCCCTGCAGACTGGAATGTAGGCTACTCCAACAGAATAGCGAAAATAGAGGGCTGTCTCATCATAGAGGTCAGCAGGGAGGAGTAAGAATTAAAGCTGAAAGTGCCCATATAACGAATGCTCCTAGCTTGGCGACTGTGCGAAATATTCGAGAATAGTGACACATCACATGCGCTGGTGTGTTTTCATCCTCATAAAAAGGGTTAGTTGTCAAGGAGGTCCAATTAAACCTTTGAATATTTCATTCAGAGGGAGTGAGAAACTAAAGTTGGGAATTGTTTACCGTGAAATCCTCCCAAAGTTCTCAGCTTTTTTTTTTTTTAAGTAATACTCTCCAATTTTTAGGTTTCATTCATGGCAGTGTTTTTTCGTTTGTTTTTTGTTCCCATGGTGACCATATTTACTTTTTTGAGCTCAAAATTGGAACATGCAGTGTGACAATATTGGGACAAAGAATTTGACAGTGAGGCTGCCCCAGAAAATCTAGGGAACTGGAATGTGAAGGCCTGGACCACTTTAATATGGGTCATATATTCCAGTTCTCTTGCATTTCTCATGCCTAATTCTTCCCCCTTTTGTGGTATTTATGTCCAGTTATCAGTAATGATTTATTTTGGACACTTGAGAAAGTTGCCTATGTTCTGTTTTATGGCGATTTTTTTTTTTTTTTAGTTACAAAGGTGCACACTTTTGTATAATATGTTTTTTCCACTAGCTTGTGGATCTTTTTAGAATTGCCGTGCTGTATGTGGTTCTGTATGATTCTTTAACATTCATTTCCCTCCTGCAGTATAGTCTGTTTGATATAAGAAAATGTCATTAGAGAGTTTTTCTGTGTAGGAGGAATTGGTGACATTTCTCAGAGGAGTGCCAGAGTGCTGTCCTCATTAGGAGCATTGCCTGGGTAAATAGCAGGGACTTGGTATAGGTAATAGAGATAAAAAAGAAAGGAGTCTTTCTATAAGCCATTTCTTATTCATAGAAGTATGTGGTATTATCGTTAATTTACAGATCAGGAAACTGAGGCTTTAAGAGTTTTATTAAAGTTCATCAGGTGTACAGGTTGGAGACAGAAGTTAAGTGGTTGACAGCATCATGTGAGTCTAAGCATTTGTAAGTCAGTGGTGGCAGCTGAGAAAAATCAGCATTCTTTTTTGTTAGTCACCAGGTAGGTTTAGTGCAGTGGTTCTCAAACTTCAGTGTGCATTAGAATCTCATATGGAGGGCTTTTTAAAACACAGAGTGCTGGGCCCCACTTCCAGAGTTTCAGATTCATTAGGTCTAGATGGGGCCTGAAATTTTGCATTTCTAAAAAGATCCCAGGTGACCATGCTTTGAGAACCACTGGTGTAATAAATTATATAGAGAAGTTAAATTAGGTGTCAGCTGTATATTTGACACTTGATTTGGTGATGGGGATATAAAGATAAGAAAGAACCTCTGTCTTGAATTTGCAAACTGTTAGCTCTTGTTTTTCCAAATAAATTCTGTGTCTGGGTTCACTTACCTCATAGTTCTCCAGGACGCATGCAGGTCAGATGGTAACGCTGCTAGGCCTGAGGCTTAATAAAATTGTACATTATTAAGGATTTTTGTTAAATAGGTAGATTTTAGTTTCTCCTGTCACATAAAAAGTACATGAGATGATATGCTAATCTGCTTCCCTATTATAACCATTTTGCCATTTTTATGTATCACATAATACCTGTTTTTTTTTTTTTTTTTGGACCTAAATGTAAAACCCAAAACTATAAAACTCTTCGGAAAAAAACAGGAGTAAATCTTCATATCTTGAGTTAGGTAAAGCCTTAGATACCACATCAAAAGCATAAGCACAGGACGGGAGCGGTGGCTCACGCCTGTAATCCTAGCACTCTGGGAGGCCGAGGCGGGTGGATTGCTCTAGGTCAGGAGTTCAAAACCAGCCTGAGCAAGAGAGACCCCGTCTCTACTATAAATAGAAAGAAATTAATTGGCCAACTAATAAAAATGCCGGGCATGGTGGCGCATGTCTGTAATCCCAGCTACTTGGGAGGCTGAGGCAGTAGGATTGCTTGAGCCCAGGAGTTTGAGGTTGCTGTGAGAGAGGCTGATGCCACGGCACTCACTCTAGCCTGGGTAACAAAGCGAGACTGTGTCCCAAAAAAAAAAAAGAAAAGCACAAGCACAGAAGGAAAAATACATTAGATCTCATAAATTTACAATTTTGTGCTTCCAAAGACACCATCAAGAAAATGGGTAGGCACTGTGGCATACACCTGTAATCCTAGCTACTTGGGAGGCTGAGGCAGGAGGATTTCTTGTGCCCAGGAGTTTGAGATCAGCCTGGGCAAGATAGCAAGACTTTATCCAAAAAAAAAAAAAAAAAAAGATAACCAGAAAAAGGAAGAAAAAATTGCAAAGGAGGAAAAATTGCAAATCTTATATTTAATAAGGGACTTACATCCAGAAATATAAAGAACTCTTTCAACTCAAGAATAAAAAGAACCAAATTTACTTATTTATTTTTCTTTTTATTTCAGCATATTATGGGAGTACAAATGTTTAGGTTACGTATATTGCCCTTGCCCCACCCGAGTCAGTGCTTCAAGTGTGTCCAGAGCCCAATTTAAAAATGAGCAAAGTATCTGAATATATAATACATTTCTCCAAAGAAGATATAAAAAATGGCCAATGTTACTGAAAAGATGCTCTGTATCATTAGCCCTTAGAGAAATGCAAATCAAAAGCACAATGAAACCACTTTACACCTACTAGGATGGCTGTAATCAAGATAAACAAAAGCAAGAGTTGGTGACGGTGTTGATATGGGAACACTCAACATTTTGCTGTTGGGAATGTAAAGTGATCTAGCCACTTTATAAAACAGTTAAACATCAAAATATTAGAGTTACCATATGACGTAGAACTTCCACTCTAATATAAACAAGA